TTTTTGAAAAAAAACTAGATAGAAAAAAATCGTTGGAACGAAATTAATTTTAGACCTATGGTTTCCTGGGCAAGAACGATTGAAATTACCCAAAAAATCATAATCACGATGTGCCTCTGTTAATTTTTTTGGGTCCCTACAAATCGATCCGCCCTAATATACATACATACATATGTTCGTGCTGACAGGTTCTTAAATTAATTTTTGAAAATGCGGCACTTTCTCCCTACATATGTAATTTAGTTGAAAACAAGTAACAAAGTCTAAATTCGGGCGAAGCCGAACATTAAATACCCGGCGCACGTATTAAATATAGTTTTTTCACCTTTCTGAAAAGAACCGTTACATGGTAAGCGGGAGTGGTTTTGCCCCTAATTTAAACATCTTCTTAATGAGATAAACTTATATAGTTATAAGTGGGCAGTATCACGCCCCTTTTCCAAAATTCCATAATAATGAGATACATGCCCATTTCCTAGCAATTTATTTAAGACGCATTTCTTGCTTAAGAATTACTGCAAAAATCGATTTTGAATATGTAAATTCGCTTCAGAAGTTACGTTATATAGGATGTGGGCGTGGTTATTGTGCAAAATTTAAAAGAAATTGTTTAGGCGGTTACGGCGATATATACATCTAATCACAAGTAGGCGTGGCTACGCCCATTTAAAAAAAAATTATAAAATGCTTATTTTCTGCCTGAAGATCATTGTAAATATCAATTTGGAGAGAATAAGCTTTAGTGGTAACTAAAATATCGCAGTTTTCGTATTTCTGAGAACTACCGATGTAGGCGTCGTTATTAGTGTTGCCAGATTTTTTCCAGCCATACGGGACCAACGCGTTAGAATTGTCTTTGCCAACTTATCTTTATTTATTTATTGTTAATAATTTTCATTTAAAATATGGGTCGTTCTATATCAGACACCACATAAGTAAAAGTTTCAAAGCTTGCTCAAAGTTCACAAAACCTAATTAAACTTAAAATACTTTTCATCAAAATTTCGAATTTTTATTAGATTTCCTAGAAATATTTTGNAAATTGGATTTAGGCAATGGCTAATAATAATAATTATTGAATCATGTTAAAATATCAAGTATTGTAATTTTTTTTACAAAAATGGCTTTATCAGGCGTTGATGAGCTAGTTTTCGTTGAAAATATAATAAAGAAAACAATTATTTCAATTTCCAGAAAAATAATTTAAAGAAAAGTGCACGAGAATTGGATTTAGGCAATGGCTA